ATCCAGGCATCCAACTTTGAAGAATTCGGAGCTCTTCCTGGATGCAGGCCCTGAAAGGCTTATGACCTTGGAGAAGTTACTTTGAGCTTCACCTCTTTCCTCAGAGGAAAAGAATCATTCTTAACTTGTGTAGAGTTCTGACGATTAAAACAGATAATCCAAGTGTACTTTTAGCACAGGGCTTGGCATGCAATAAATTCTTCAGGACTGGGTGCTGTTAGCCGTAAGCCCAGTTATTTAAATCTATTTAGCGAGTTCACATGTGATCCCTGCTGTGGGACAGTCTAAAGATTCTTAAGTGCTGATGCCCGTGTGTGTGTGTGTGTGTGTGTGTGTGTGTGTGTGTGTGTGTGGTCGTGGCAGTCATGTTGGGAACTAAGTCTTAGGCGGTTAAACAGGATAGGATGTAAACAGAGAGGTGCTGAGGGGAGTTAGAGAACCTAGTCCTGACGGTGCAGAGGCTAAGGCATTGGTCCAAATAATGGGGCAAACTTCAGGAGAAGGTAGGCAGCTGAGAGTGGGAACTGGGAGCTGCATTGTATGTTCTGACAACTACAGGAAGTATTTCTAACTCATACAATATGAATGACAGAGACATTCTCTCTTACATTATTGCCAAGTGATACCAAGTATTATTAGAACTGAGTGTAGCAGTTTCAGCTTTCGTGTTAGTGAGACTCCAGGAATCCTGTGTATGTATGTATGCACCTTCAAAGAATCCAGAGTCACCCAAGTGACGATGAGGTCAGTGCTCCTGATCCTGAGGACTGGCCGAACCCGGCTGCCCGTTTTAGACTCCACCGAGCGTGACTTTAGCTGCTTTGGCTTCTGAGCATGTGTTTATTAAGGTAAAGCAAGTACCCTTAGGTAAGCATGCCAGGAGTTTGTTTGATGACGTGATTCCTGCTTACTGTTTTTACCTGGTTTCCTGTCGTGGTGCTATACGTATCCTAGCCGGGTTTTTTTGTTTGTTTGTTTGTTTTTGTTTTTGTTTTTCTGAAAAGACTTATGTGAGTTAAAATCTGGCCCTGGGTTTTATCTTAACCATGATAGGTCAGGGGAGAGTTAGATAAAGAAATCATAGTTAAAATGCCTTGGGGTGTGCCTGAGTAGGAGGGCGTGGCTCCATCTTTGCCAGGAAGAGTCATAGTAAAGTTTGCTTTGCCAGCAAGTCCAAAACCTACCTTCCATCGCTTGTTTCTATTGCAATTTTGCCCCTAGCATAAATGCCACAACATGTAGAAGGTAGGCGTGGACATTATAAAATAACTAGATTCTGGAATCTTCTTTGAGAAGCAGATATGTGTACTGACCATAAAGAGGCTCCGGGGATTATGGTTGTTTCTTAAACTTAATTGAGTTCCCAAGGAGCTAGTTACCATCTCAGAACACACGTAGGCAGCTCTGAGGACCCAGCTTCATGATACAGAGTGCACAAGGTAGCACATAGCTGTGAATAACAGTGGGCACTTCACGAGTGGTACACTTTAATACTTTCTGTTCTCTTGTATTTCAGTAAGGAGAAAATACTAGTCACTACTAGCCTGAATTCCCGACACACTACTGGCTTGCAGCTTTCATTCTGAAAAAAACTTTGCTCTGAATAACTCAGAAAGAGAATTAGGATGATCATGGATGGTATGCTGGGGGAGCTTTAAAACATTTTGCATTTAATTAGATTTACCTTTTATATATTTATAAGTTAGGTATCAATTTCAGTGTAAGGAAACTTTACCTTGGCATCAGATAACACACAGTAAATGATGGCACTAAGATTGCAGTCCAGCTCTTCTTCATACATTAAAGCTTATGATAGTCCCATTGTGTTTTGCATTTTCCAAATACAAGATCAGCTTTCCTACATGAACTGCCATTTTATGTATTTGAAGACTAGTAGTGTGTTCCCAATGATCCCTTTCCTACCATATGCCGAACATTTTCTTAAGAGAAAATTTCAGTTTATTGAATAATTTCTTATATAAAATAATTCTCTGGACCTTCAATTAATAATAGTTGAGTATTATTATTGAGAACAGGGTCTTAACATGTAGCACAGACTGTCCTGTGGCTGGCCCCAAACTTAGAGCTCTGCCTGCCTCTGTCTGCCAAATGCTGGGATCAAAGGTGTGAACCAGCACACCTGGCTGACTTAATTTTTTCTTAATTTACTCTAGTGGCCCATTAGATATGGTATCTAGAACTGTATTCTGATTTTTAAGGTAACCAGAGTGTTTATATACTTCTCTTGAACTAAAAGCTATTTTTAAAACAGTAACTTAAAGTATATAAATAGAGCTGGCTGTGGTGACACACTCCTTTAATCCTAGCATTTGGAAGCAGAGGCAGGCGGATCTCTGTGAGTTTGAGGCCAGCCTGGTCTACACCCTGTCTTGAAAAACTAAAAAAAAAACAAACACACACACACACACACACAAAAACAAAACCCTAAGAACAAAAAAGCATATTAATGGCTGGGCATTGGTGGTGCATGCTTTTAATCCCAGTATGGGGTAGGCAGAAGCAGGTGGATCTCTGTGACTGCAAGGACAGAAGGGCTACACAAAGAAAAAAAAAGAAAGAAAGAAAGAAAAGAAAAGAAAGAAAGAAAGAAAGAAAGAAAGAAAGAAAGAAAGAAAGAAAGAAACTTAGCCAAATACTTTCAATTCACTGATTAATTAATTTAGAGGTAGTCTCATCCTGTAGCCCAGACTGGACTGGATCTTACTACATAGTCCAGACTGGTTTGAACTCATGACAGTCCTCAGCCTCCCAAGTATTGTGATTACAGGTGTGCTAAGCCCTGTTAAACTGCATTTTATATTGTTAGTCATTAGGTTTCAACTTTTGTTACTAAGTTTAATAGGTGTTGGTAGTATGAACTTCTCTACCATGTGTTTTTATTAAAGTATGTTAAACCACATTTCCCTAATTTGACTTAGGCACTTACTACCTATTTTCTAATAACTCTTTTTGTCTCTTTATATTTAGTAGGCAGATGTTGTAGATGTTTGTTCAGGTTGTGTGTATGCGTGCATTTTGGTGTTTTGCCTACATGTATGTCTGTGTGAGTGTGCATACCCTGGAAGTGGACTTACAGACAGTTGTGAGCTGCCATGTGGGTGCTAGAAATTGAACCCAGGTCCTCTGGAAAAATAACCAGTGCTCTTAACCACTGAGCAATTTCTCCAGCCCCATTTGTTCAGATTGTAGACAAAAAATTTAAGTGACAGATAAATTACTCTGAAGTATGCAGCTCAACTGGACTTCCTCCAGTAACACCAGGCCATTAACACCCATTATGGTTATTCACCAGCCATTAATTCTTTGTTGTCAGCTCCTTATGACATTTGGGTTTTGTGGATATTCTGAATGAATTGGCAAATCCTACACTGTGCTTAAGTGGTAATGAGCCTGCGTGGTTCTTACATGCAGTGAAGTCACTCTCCAAGTAGAAATTGAAGTGAATTTGGTTTGACATGGTTATGACGAATCCACTCATGTTACAGAATCAGTCCTTTCTTAATTTCACAAAAAAATATGTTTAATCTTATTTTCAGTTTGGAAATTTCTGGAATTTCTAGATATTGCTTATTATTCTCCTTAGAAATTGCCATCTTTGGTCATAACCTTTTCCCCCACATTTCTGATCCACAGTGATTTTCTGATAAAGTTTTTGCTATTTTTTTTTCATGGTGTAGAGGGGTAGGGCTAGGCCTATTTTAACTATGTTTGGCTTAATAGCTCACTTTGTTTCTTTGAGCATTGATTCTCTTTGAAGAATGTTCTTCCTTGTCCATCCGAACAAGCTGATGACAGAAATACTTTGTCTTAGATATTCAGTGTCAGGGCTTATTTTGTTTGTGGTTGAGACTGTTGTGTCTTTCTACTGATGCTACTGTAATTTTTTTCCTTAGGGTTTGCATTGTTCACTGTAATTTTATATGATGCACCATTTAACTAACACTTTTTATTATGTACATTTTATTTGCATATGTATTTACTTGTTGTGAGGGATGCACAAGTGGACACATG